TATTACCTAGACTTTCCATACAATATTGTGTCATTGTGTCTTGTAACGATTGTGATACATTTACTTTATTTAAGATAGCTCAGGGTGTGGTTTTCAAGAAACATCTATTAAAAGCAAGATATTAGAAGGGCAAAAGTCAAATAAGAAAAATAAAAATTAAAAAAAGAACACCAAAAGTAAGAAATGAGAAGTGCCACATTGCTATTAACTAGACCGGTGACTGATGGAACTTCTCCTGTTTCTCCCGGTGGCTGTGTTCTGCTCCAGGTCCCTTGCAGGGCCTGGGGCCCCGCTGGGTGGCGTCCTTGGTTCTCTCCACTCATCTGTGTCCTCCCTGGGCCTCCCTGGACCTGGGCACTTGGTGTGTTGTCCTGCAGGCATGCGCACGTTCTCCAGCCCAGATGGGATACAGATGTGGCAGGAGGTTCCCGTGCATCCCCGGCCACTTAGGTAAGGTGCAGGCAAGCAAGGTGGGGTCTCTGTCAGTGACTGTCTCCCCGTACACTTTCTCCAGCTGCAGGTAATGCAATGCCGACTGTGGCCAAAATCAAGGGCCCAGGATAGGGGACTGGAGACAGCTTAGCCACCCAGCCCACACTGGACCTGGACAGCAGTCACACGGGCTACTTGTGCCGGTATACTCCTACATCTCCGGATTATGGCTCCAGATCTTTCAAGAAAGCTGGGACGTTCCTGCCTGCCTCCTCTTTTATGCTCCAGAGTTTTCTTGAACTTTGCAGGTTAGCAAATGAGTGGAAAGAAACAGGAACGAGAACAAATTAACTGTGGCCTTTCGGCGATCATTAATTTGACCAACTACCCTTTGGAAATGAAAGGCCACAGCCAAGTCAAATACCAAACGCTTCAGCCGAAGGCAGTGGCGCTAATCAAGGCAGGAAGTCCCAGTTTGCTGGAAGACTAAATCTCAGGAAGGAGGAGCGGGAGTGAGGCTGTGACCATCGTCCTGAGGGCACGTCCTAACGCCCCACACTTTTTTTGTACCTGTACTGGTACTCAGGGCCTCACACCCTTTCTTGGCTTTTTCATGTAAGCTTGGTGCTCTGCCACTTGAGCCACAGCTCCACCTCCAGCTTTTTTTTTGCTGGTTCATGGAGATAAGAGTGTCATGGACTTTCCTGTGATCCTCAGGTCTCTCCCCCCTGAGCAGCGAGGATGGCAGTACCAGCAGCGGTCCATGCGGTGCGATGTCATGTTCTGGACAATGGCTGACACCAAACTGGCTCATAATGATCTCCAGCTTCTGAGAACCACGGGCAGGATTTGCTCTGTCTTGCTTAGTCACATGACCAAATTTTCTACAAAAAGGAAGATATGGGTCCCCTGCGCCCTGCCTCCGATTTCCCCTGAGACACAGCACAGTGGGGCCGCCCCGCCTGGGAGAGGCAGGGTGCAGATGAAGGCCCAACTCACCGGCCCCGAGTAGCCAAATGCAGCCTGTGTGGCTGGGGCGGTCTGTCCTGGCCGGAGCTCCCAGCCCACTTGGCTGAGGCCCCAGGGCCGGTTCCCAGGCAATGAATGGAAGGAAGGCTCCGAGACCCAGCTCTGCCCGGGAGATGCCTGTGAACTTGAAGCCACTGCAATTTATTTTTAGTTTTTAAAAATTTGTTGGTCGTGGGGCTTGAACTCTGGGCCTGGGCGCTGTCCCTCAGCTCTTCAGCTCAAGGCGAGCGCTCTACCACTTCTGGCTTTTTCTGCTTCTGTGGTGCTGAGGAATTGAACCCAGGGCCTCATGCATGCAAGGCAGGCACTCTACCACTGAGCCATCTTCCCAGCCCCAACCTGCAATTTAAAATTGGACTAGATGGGGGTTTCTGGGTGCTGGGGAGGGGGCGTGAGGACATGGGGGGAGGGGATGATGGCAGAGGCTGGGCCGTGTCCTTCCCGGTCCTGACGGCCGACCCCGCTCCGGAGGTGTGGACAGAGACCTGCTGGCTGGAGCCGTCCTTGCTTTCCTCACCAGCGATGACCTTCAAAGCGTCCCGATTTAGCACCAGGCCCACTCCCTGACACTCGAAACGCCAGGGTGCGTGTGCACATTCACACCCAAAGATCAGCATCCTGTGCCGTCCGAGGTGTGAAGTGTGGAAACATCACTCGATAACCAAAAGGCCAGTTCCCCATTTAGTTCAGGAAAAAAAAAATCCGGACAACCTTTCCCGGGCGCGCGGCTCCATCCTGTCAGCTCCTCACAGTGACAACGCCCTGGCGAGCTGGAAGCCCGGGGTGCAGACCAGGCCACAGGAGCCCGGCCGAGTCGCCCTCCACAGCCCTCCATGGCGCCCCTCCCCTGGTCCCCATCTGTAAAAACGGGGGGGGGGCACACCTCCACATGGGTGCAGTCAGATGACACAAGTCAACACTTGGCAGGGTGCTGATGCCCAGCCCTGCAGCCCCCCTGGGGCTGTGGACAGAAGACCCTTGGTCGGCCATGCCATGCTCTGAACAGACGCCACCCCCACAGGGCCAAGTTCCTTAGTGACAGGCATCAAAAAATGGCAACTGTCCAAAATCCACCCCCTTAGCACACCGATCCCTCCCCACTCCTACGGCCACACACACACACACACACACACACACACACACACACACACACACACACACGTCAGACTTTTACAGGCTATCCTTAGGCACAAGCAGCCAGGGGTTTTGGTGAGCAAGCCTGGCACAATCTGGGACTTCACTTCCTTCCAGTGATGCCTTGAAGTCTCCTCACACTCCCCTCCCTTCTCCCCCTTTTTTCTTTGCCAGTCCTAGGGCTTCAACTCTGGGCCTAGGCACTGTCCTTGAGCGTCTTTTGCTCAAGACTAGTGCTCTACCATTTGAGCCGTAGTACCTTTTCTGGTGGTTTATTGGAGATATCCCTGCCTGGGCTGACTTGGAACCACGATCTTCAGATCTCAGCCTCTGACTAGCCAGGATTACAGGCGTGAGCCACCCGCGCCTGGCATCTTTACTCCCTTTTAATTTTTGTTTACTTATTTTTACTTTTGCCAGTCCTGGGGCTTGAACTCAGCTCTGAGCACTGTCCCTGAGCTGCTTTTGCTCAAGGCTACTCTACCACTTGAGCCACAGCACCACTCCCAGCCTTTTCTGTGTATGCGGTGCTGAGGAATGGAACCCAGGGCTTCATGCATGCTAGGTGAGCACTCACTCTACCACTGAGCCACATCCCCAGTCCTCACTCCCTTTTAAAATAGGGAACGTTAGTCAGGTGCTGGTGGCTCCTGCCTGTAGCTCCTCAAGGGCAGAGTACCAGCCTTAAGTGAAAAAGGTAAGGCTCAGACCCTGGCTCTGAGTTCAAGCCTCAGTATTGGCACAAAAAAATAGAAAAGCAAAAGGGAAATGTTAAAAGACAGAAAAACAGGCATCACGTGTCTCCATCGTGGGCAGCTCCCCTCTGTCTCAAGTCACATCTGAGGGTCCCTCCCTCCCTCCCCGGGGAGCCTCAGCCCCGCCCCTCCCCCAAGATAATGTCTAAGCTCCCCTCACTGTCAGCAGATGGCGGGAGGGCAGGTCTTGGCTGTCACACAGGGTACTGAGCCCCCTCTCTCTACCTGTGCTATTCTGTCTGTGATGCCAAAGAAACCTGTTTCACAGGACTTTCCTAGCACCTTTGTAGATGAGAACCAGGCGGCACTTGCATCAACAGAAGGCATCTTGAAAAATGACTCAGAAACATCTCCATTAATTCTATGTAGGAAGTGAGGCCTGCCTTGGCTCCTGCCTGCTGGCTCTCTCTCTCACCCCTGCCGGGGCCCCTCGCCCTCTGTGGGGTGGGGGCGGTCAGAGCCTCAGCCCTGCTGGTTGCATTGGACTGGCTGCAATGCGGGGAGTCCAGCAGCTGAGACCCCCCCCTCCCGCAGCAGTGCTCTGGAGTGCCGGCTGCCCGGCTGGTCCAGTGTGAGCGTGTCTGAAGTCACCTTGTGCTGGTGGCAGTCAAGAAGTGCTTGTCATTCTTGGCACGTGCTCCACTTTGTCACCCTTCCTCAGTGTGTCGTGTGAGCCACTGGCACCGTGCGTCAGCCTGCACGCCATTTAAATGTCTTTGCAAAGCTGCGTGGCACTCACAGCAAATGTGAGCCCAGCCCCGCGGCCTCCGCCGGGCAGCTTGCAACGCAACCCACAGGCTCTCAGGGGAAGCCAAAAAAGGCAGTCGATGGGGCTGTGTCAGTCTGTGACCAGAAGTTGGGGCCAGGGTCTCTTACCACAGGCTGAACAAGACTTAGAACAGGAGAATTATCTACACCCCACCCTGAACAGAGGGAACAATGTTCAAAGCAAGGTGGGCTGCAGTGACACTGGCAGTGGATGCTGTTCTCTTCTGGGCTCACTAATGACGGTGTGCACCTGTAGGTGAGGACGACAGTGCATAACAGGAAATGTCCCGCTCTGGGCAGGGGCTGGAGCCTGCCTCATTGCTTCCTGGTCTGTTGGTGGCCCTGGGGTGGCCTGATATGTGCCAGTGGACTCCCAGGGCTGAAGATGTCGGAGGCCATGTGGAGTAGTGTCCTGTGCCCCCCCCACCCCTTTCACTGTGAAGGGGGACGGGCAGGACCAGGGAAGCACCCTGCCCACCCATCCTGGCCACAGTGAGAACTGCGGTGGATGGGAACGCCCCTCTTTCAGCCCTTCACAGAAGGCTGGTGGCTTTAGAAGCCGTTGGGGGTTGGGAGGGAGGGGGATGGGGAAGGTCTAGGCACCACTAGACCCAGCAGACGGGGCTGGAGGGGACTCAGCACACACCCAGGACCTGACATGGCCAATAGCTGCTGTGGGCTCCTGGTTTAGTGCAGAGACCCCTGCGTGCCTTTTCCCTCAGAACAAGCCAGTCCTCCTGTGACCAACACCTCTGAAGCCTGGAGTCCGCTCAGAGACGCCACCCTCCTCTCTCCGAGGGAAGGCATCCCTAGGAAGAACGCTTCAAGCCCAGTCCCTGCTTGTATGGCCACGGAGCGGAAGGCAGGAGGTGAGGCTGTGGCCTGGGTAGAAAAGGTTTAATGCTTACAAAAATAAGTTACAAAAACAAACACGTGAACACAAGGGGAATTTCAGCCCCAGTGCACAACCAACCAATCCTTCCTTCCCTTTCCTTCCTTCCTTCCTTCTTCCTCCCTCCCTCCCGCTCTGTCAAATGCCTGGTACCGCTCCAGAGTGGAGAGCCAGAGCAGCTGCAGACACCCGTGCGGGACTGGAGGTGCTGGCTGCGCATGCGTGCTGGGTGGGGGCGCGGGCTGGCCTGGGCTGGTCACTGCCGGCAGGTGTCGTGAAAGGCTTCCAGGGTCCGGAAGTCCCTCCACGTGGGGGGAAGGCCGTCTTGCAGAAACTTCCCACAGCGCTGGCACGGGGCCTGGAACAGCTTTATGTAGCTCCTCAACCAGGTCTGAAGGGAAGCGTAGAGACATGGGAGTGGGACAAGGGCACTTCCCAAATCACCCAAACGCAGTGCTCCCCACGATACCCGATCATCTCAAGAGGCTGCCAGCCTACGTGGCTCCCCGACTTCCGGTCTGCTTGTCTAGACCGGCCTGGCCCGCCGAGGGCGCGGCGGCGGTCATCTCCCAGAGCCTGTCCCAGGCCAGGCGGCTGGGGACAGCCGTGTCACCCACTAACCAAATAAGCAGCACGCGCTCGCTCGCCAGGTTCAGAGGGCAGCGCGCTGCGGATCATCCATAAGGATGAGGCTCGGGTAACTCAATTCTCAAAGTCAAGGAGGTTCGGTCGGCGGTGGCGGAGGGAGGGGGAGCCGGCGGGGCGCTGCACGTTCCGCGCCCTTCCGCCCTCACCCACGGCTCTGCCGCGAGCGGGGCGCGGCGGCCAGCGGGGCCCCCCACGGCGGGCCGGGGCGCGGCCCCCAGCGGGACCCCCCACGGCGGGCCGGGGCGCGGCGGCCTCCCTGGGCACGAGGCAGCACCCCCAGGACAGCTCCGACACCCGCCTGGCGTGGCGTGGCGTGGCGTGGCTGACTCTCCCAACACCACAGCCCATCAGCGAGCTGGGCCTCCATCTTCTGAGAACCACTGGCGAAGCTCCTCTGAGGGCGGGCTGGCCAGGCGACTGCGCATGCGAGCAGGTGGGCAGGCGCGCCGGCGGGTGACTGCGCATGCGGGCAGGCGGGCCGGGGTACAGGCAGGTGACTGCGCATGCGGGCAGGCGGGCCGGCGGGTGAGCCTGCAGCAGGGTTCCTCATGGCGGCCAGCTGGCTGCCTTCCTAGCACGAAGCTGAACGCTTCGCTGCCAGTGGAGGATGGCGCCCGGTGACGCCACAGCAGGCAGCTGTCGGGCCGAGGTCAGACGGCTAGCGGGCGTGTCCGGGAGGCCGCAGGCACGCCGGGGCGGGGCAGAGGTCCTGACGCAGAGCGCATGCCGATTTCCATGGTGCAGACACCCCTGCTAGGTTCCGCTTCAAGCTACCCATGGCTGAGCAACCTGCGAACAGCTCTCAAGAGCTGGCAGGTGCCGGGCCGCTCACCACTGAACAGCGGCGCGATGCCCCCACCTTGCGCTCAATCTGGGAATCTAAAGAAACATCTTGGGGAACTGCAAGCCGTTTCTTCACTTGCAAGATGACTTCTAGCTCTACACGACACAGGATTCACGATGGCAAGCTCAGCTAAGTATCTGCTCAATGCCAGGAACTTCTGGAGGATCTCCATCTCTGAATGCTTCCCATTCCCCCCCCCCCCACCCCAACCCCAGGGAAGCCCCGAAGCCGGAGGCACAGAGCTGCGCTGCGGACGTGCTCCCTGTGGACGTGCTCGCGTAATGCGTGCTGCAGCTTGGACGGGAGGCCTGGCTCCTGAAGCCACTTACCATGAAGGATCTGACCACGACATCTGGCATCTGGGGCAGCTGGTAGTGCAGCAGGGCCGTGGTGGCATGGTCTGTCACCTGGGGATGAAGGACAGTGACAGTGATCCAGGAAAGCCAGCAGGAAGAACACATGTCACTGTCAACAGCTCTGCTGTGGGCCCCGCCCTGCTGCCAGTCTCCGAGGAAAGGACATCTGAAATCAAATCTCAAGTAGGAAAATGAGTAGAGTTGGGGCCAAGAGGGGAGGAGGCATGCAGTAGCTGGGAAGGACAGAGGCAAGTGGAGTGCGGGAACATTCCAGCAACTGACCACCGCCCCCTCCCTCCCTTCCTTGGCTGGAGCCCTGTGGGAGAGGAGGGAACAGAGGAGGGCACACCCCCAAGAGCTTCCAGGCCTGAAGGGGGAGGGGTGGGGGGGGTGCTGAAATGGGTCTCCCACCTGTAATCCACCTCGGTGGTGGCCAGAACCATTCATTCTCCCAGCTGCAGAGTGGGTCCCCTCCTGCTTCTAACTCTCACTTCTGTCTCCTACTTTGTAGCTCCTGGCTTCATCAGGAGCTGGTCTTTCGATTTCACAGCTGCTACAATGCCTCTCTGAGGAGCCCCCTCCAGAAGGACCACCCTGTGACCAGCCCCCTCCAGAAGGACCACCCTGTGACCAGCTCTTGGGAGCACCAGCGTCTATCTGGCAGGCCACACCTGACTCCATGGGAGATCAGCCTCTCTGAGGCTCGAGGGCAGCTAGGCGACAGTGGCCCTGGGCTCAAGCCAGTGCTGTCCCCTGCCTCAGATTTGCTAGATCCCTGCAGTTCTGAAATGTGATGACACGAGATCCACTGATGCCTGCCATCCATCAGCAAATTAATAGATTATACTAATTTGATAGCTGTGTTCAAACTAATGGTTTATTTGATTGCACTCATTAGGGATTCTTGGCATTACAAATGTGGTGGTTTAAAAACAAAATAGAATACTCCAGATAAAATCATTAACTTGAGGACAGGAATCAGCACAGGTCTGACTTGTTCAGACCTGTTGGTGTTCTAGCCCCTACCAGCACGCAGCATGACATGCTGAACAGCCGGTGTGTGCGGGCTGCAGCTGCAGGCCCACGCTGCAGCGGCGTCGGAGGCTGTGTCACCCTGGAGGGCAGGTTCCACGGCCAGGGAAGCTGGTCCTGGCCCTAGCTGGATCCTCAGTTTCCCCTGGGCCAAATGGAGGCTGGAGTGATACCTACTGCTTCCTGAGGCTGCAATGGGCTGGGCTGAAGGCAGGCGCTCAGTGCAGTTCTGGCTCTCCAGCCCAGCTGCCTGCCCCATCTGCTGGAAACCCCATTACCACAGCTCTGCGGGGCGGGTGGTCGGGCTCAGCTGTGTCCAGAGGCCTAGCCTTGGTGTGTGTTTAGCTGAGAGCAACTCATCAAACGTGCACGCCGGAGCATGGTGAGGCTCTCCTGCAGAGGCGCCAACAGTGCACGGATCCCACACGGCTGAGGAATTCTTACTCGGGTGACTTTCAAGATAAACGGCACTTCTCTAAGTGCCAAGCGAGACTGCGTATATTTTAAGCATTTTGACAGATAGCTTTCTAAAATGAGCAATGAATTTCTTTTTTTTTTTTAAACAGTAGTAATGCTAACTTTGCATCATGGCTGGTGTTGTGGGCTGGGGTGAGGAACAGAGGCTGCCACTTTTCAAATGCCCGCCGGGCAGCTGCGTGTTCAGTATCTGCTGTTTTCCAGTTTTGGCAAACCCTCATTCTTAAAACAGGCACCGCCCATCTGCACACCTGCCCTGGGAGGAGGATGGGAGGGGTCGGGCAGGTGCGGTCCAGAGGCCGGGGCAGGGACACACGGCGGACAGTTGTAGCCGGTGCACGGGAAAGCGGACGTGGTATGTGCTGTCCAACACTAAGGAGGTGGCACTGGAGGCCCAGCCTGGGCGCCTGAGCTCTCCCAGTGACAGCATGTGTAGGGTGTCCTGTGCAGTCTGCATGGCACTTCACAGCAGTGCCTGGTCACCTAAGAATTCGCTTATAATCTGCCTTGTTGGCCCTCAGGGTGGGCTGGACTTCAGCTAGCTTCTTTTTTTGTCTGTCATGGGGCTTGAACTCTGGGCCTAGACACTGTCCTTGAGCTCTTCAGCTCAAGGTGAATGCTCTACCACTTGAGCTACAGCGCCACTTTGGTAGTGAACTGGAGATAAGAGTCTCACAGATTTTCTTTTCTTCTTTTTTTTTTTGTTTTGGGTCCGGTCGTGGGGCCTGAACTCTGGGCCTGGGCACTGTCCCTCAGCTCTTCAGCTCAAGGCTAGCACTCTACCACTTGAGCCACAGCGCCACTTCCGGCTTTTTTCCTTTTTGCTTATGTGGTGCTGAGGAATCGAACCCAGGGTCTCATGTATGCAAGGCAAGCGCTCTACCACTGAGCCACCTTCCCAGCCCCTCTCACAGATTTTCTTGCCTGGGCTGGCTTTGAACCATGATCCTCAGATCTCAGCCTCCTGAGTAGCTAGATGACAGACTTGAGCCACCAGCACCCGGCTTCAGCTAGCCTCTTCTTCGGGGCCTGCTAGCAACAATAAGAGAATGTGGTGAAGGACTCAAGGCCCCAGCGGCGAGCATCAAGGCTGGAGCACCTTCCGGGCCTGAGAGACAAGGGCAGACACTGATTGGGGCACAAAACCAGGGAGTCTAAACCAGGCAGTTTGTCTTTCTCGTGAATTCAAACACACGGAAGCCCCAGGATTTCAATTGGGTGCTGGGAGTGGTGGGGTCTTCAGTGTTGTGAGAGGCTGGAAGATGCCGACAGTGGCTAGGAGCAGCGGTGGCGGTGCCCGCATCCTGGAAGATAGCTTCTTCCGTCCAGGTGCACACAGGGGCCCGGGGCAGCATCTGCCCAGCCTCCCAGAGTGCTGAGCTCGGTCTCTGGAAAGCTGGAGTGTGTGCCAGGCACTGAGCAGAACTGTGAGCACGGGTGCCTAGTGTGGAACCGGCTTAGGTAACTAGAAATTGTCCTCTGGAGCGTCACCGTGCCAGGCCCCCTGATTTGGCACCCGGCTCTCAGCCGTCTCTAATTAGTCTTTCCATTGCCGAGCAATCTGGTCAGATCCGGCTCCCTTTCCACAGGGCTTGGTAGAAAGCATTTCCTTTACTTGGCAAATGCCTAGCACTGAGGTAATCATTTAGCTTCTCCAATTCTCCACCTCCAATCCCAGGAATCTTAACAGAAGACAACCAGCTAGCAGACGTGCTGACGGCTCTCCCTTCTTCCTACTTCCTCCACGGCTGGCTTTTGGACTGCCAGGCTAAATCCCAAGCATCAAGCAAGATGAGGCCATTGAGCACGGGAGACGTTTACCTACGATGATCTTTCTTTTTTTTTGTCAAAGCATTCCACCTTCAATACTTTTTGTTTTATACCTTGCAACAACAAAGTTGCTTTATGCTCAGCATCTAAGATGTGGCAAAAACAGACCTTGGGCAAAGAAAGACTGCTATTAACTAATTGAGTGGCAGCCCAGGTTCGGGTGCCATTGTGCAGTAAGCTAATGAGGCTCTGCTGGGAGATGAAAGCAGCCCTCCCGGGCACAGGAGGCCAGGGAAGGGCACTAATGCTCCCGAGAGAGGAGCTACAGGCAGGGGCAGCCACTAGTCGAGTGCTGGTGGGAAACAAAGCTTGTAAAAAGATCAAAGTGGACGGGGAGTCCGTGGGGTAATGGGAGGAGGTGATACAAGTAAGGGCACCGAGATGGGGGAGCAAAGGGGTTCATCTCACAGCGGAGGAGCGCTCAGGCGCCGGCCCAGCCCGGGACAGAGGGGGCAGCAGTGCAGGCCGTAGCTCACATGAGGTGGCAACGCCTGCACCATGGTGACAGAGCCCCGTGGCACAGGACCGCACCAAGCTGGCCATACCCAGGCTCCTGACCTTCAGCTCCGCACACTCCCAACCACTCAGGAAGCAGGGACCTTTCAGGAGACCTTGAAGCAGCTGCCAGTCAAGGCTGGAGAAGGAGCTGCCAGTCACAACAGTCTCCCCAGCGCAGATGGGCTCTGGAGCTATTTTCACTCCATCAGAAGTGAGAGCAGCGCTTTGTACCGGGCCACATGGCCCGGGGCTGGGCTGGGGAGGTCAGGTGCAGGAGCTGGGGACCCTGGCTGGGTTCCGCAGGCCAGAGGAGCCACAGAACCTGACAAAAGGTGCATGTCACCCAGGAGCCACTGAGGCTTACCTCACCAGCCACACCCACCTGGCGATGGAGGGCCAGGACAGCTACCTGCCCAAGCCAAGGAGATGCTGCAGGGTGGGGCGAGGCCCGCCGTGACCCCAGACCTGGGGTTCAGGACTCATCTGTCCCGGGAACAGCAGGGTCTCCCAGCTCCTCTCACCCCTTGGCCCTGCACTGCTTTCCCTCCGTTGATGTGAAAGTGCATGCCCCCAGCCAATGCCTCATTTAAATGAATGCATTGAGCTCCTGCCAAGGCTTTGTACACAGGGTCCCTGCTTGTGCAAGCCACACTGGGCTCCTCAGACCCCAGAGCTGTTGGCACCACTGTGCCAGAACTGTCTCCCAATGTCTAGAAGGCCCGTCTAGACGTGTTGTGCAAAAGCTCCCTGAGGCGGTTCTGATGTGCAGCCAGCCTTGTTAGGAACCACAGACCACCGTGCTCCACTGCCTGCTTCCTACCACCAGGGGGCAGGACTGCAGCTGAGCTGGACCAAGGACTCTAGCAATTGTGCGATGTTCTTCCTGATGTAATATGTACCGGCCGTGTTATCTGCCACCACACTGCCCACGGGGCCCACGGCCCCCGCAGTTAATCCAGGAGAGCTAGGCCCTGACTATTAAAATAATTCCCCCACAAGACCAACAGATAGCCAACACTAAGTATCCAGTGTTTACCGGTTGCTTGTTTAAGAGAAGCCAGGTAGAGACCCAGCTTCTGGCTAGCTTCCTTGCAAGAGGAAGAGGAGGATGCCCTCAGGTGCCTTGCGGAGGGCAAGGGTACTGGAATGGGGTCTGTGTGTGTGTTCAGTCCTGGGATCACTACCACTGGGAGACTTGGCCACATCACTGCCTC